GACAATAGAGTGCAGTTGGGATATGTCTGGATAGCACTGGATGACCTTTTTTCCTCCTTATCACAGAACCTTTAGCATTGTAGGTGTACTGTCAAAATCATGAATGATAAATCGCTGAACATAAAAAAGGCACACCTTGTAAATAATACCCTGCCCCTTATATCCTAAGTTAACTATCTCCCACCTCTAAAATTCCCTACTATCCTCTAGATTTTTCTCACTAAGTAGAAAAAGGATCATAGTTAAACTTTTTTAAGACCCCTAGAGCTAGGAGGGCTTTCTTTTTAATAGAGCATGGTGAAGTTGAGTCACTTTATGATAGGGTACAAAGATCATCATAAGCTGTGTTCCTCCTGCCTTCGTTGAAGAATCTTTAAAACTCATTCAGGCCGTTAGAGAGCAGCAGAGAACCTTATTTCAATAGTTAAGCTACATGGAAACACATATTTTGTGCTTCTTTTCTCCCAAAGTTGAACCAGATCAAATAATCCTAGAAGAGAGGAGCAAAGTCGTTATCTTTAAGTGAAAAAAGAATGAATTACTACACATTTAGGAGAAGTTAGGATAAAAAGAGAGAGAAAGACATAACAACTACTGAAAAAAATAATATTTTTCTTGAGGCAGAAGAGAACCACTATAGAAAATTTGTTGGTGATTAAAAACTAACAAAATCAACCACAAACAATGCCACGTACAGAAATTACTGGTTGCTTATCAGAACAATAGTCTCACATTTCCACTTGCCTCAGGGACACCTTTGCTTAAATTTTATAAAATCCACAAACCCAGCATGACCAGCACCATCGTTTCTAGTATGAAGTGGTGGTCTTCTAATTTGTCTCCTGACTGCAGTCTCTCACCTGACCAGGTCAGCTAATGTTCTTTCTTTATTGGTTTTTACCTTGTAAGAGAGTATACATTTACTGAGTATTTTGTTCTTACCACTGAGAATATAACACTTAGAAGAATTCTAGATTCATAACTTGTTTTAAAATGTTAATTTAGGGACTTCCCAGGTGGGACAGTGGTTAAGAATCTGCCTGCCAATGCAGGGAACACGGGTTCGAGCCCTGGTCCGGGAAGAACCCACATGCTGTGGAGCAACTAAGCCCGTGCGCCACAACTACTGAGCCTGCGCTCTAGGGCCCACATGCCGCAACTACTGAGCCTACGTGCTGCAACTGCTGAAGCCCGTGCGCCTAGAGCCGGCGCTCTACAACGAGAAGCCACCCCAATGAGAAGCCTGTGCTGCGCACTGCAACGAAGAGTAGCCCCCACTCGCTGCACCTAGAGAAAGCCCCCATGTAGCAACGAAGACCCAACGCAGCCAAAAATAGCTAAATAAGTCAATCTTTAAAAAATGTTAGTTTATTTAACTCTCCTCATGGTTTCATGGAGCAAATCGTGCTGTACTGATATGCTTTCATTTTCAGATTTTTTTTTTTTTTTTTTAAATTTTTGGCTGCATCGGGTCTTCGTTGCTACACACAGGCTTCCTCTAGTTGTGGCGAGCGGGGGCTGCTCTTCGCTGTGGTGCACGGGCTTCTCATTGCGGTGGCTTCTCTTGTTGCAAAGCACAGCCCAGCTCTGCATGGGCTTCAGTAGTTGTGGCACACGGGCTCAGTAGTTGTGGCTCGTGGCCTCTAGAGCACAGACTCGGTAGTTGTGGTGCACAGGCTTAGTTGCTCCGCAGCATGTAGGATCTTCCCCGGGCCAGGGATTGAACCCATGTCCCCTGCATTGGCAGGTGGATTCTTAACCACTGCACCACCAGGGCGTTCCCTCATTTTCAGATTTATGGGTCATATGAAAAGGGAAAATGATTCTAGGAAGATTCTGGAGAGAGAAAACCTGTTAAATATGAAAAAGACTTGGCAGCAGTTGTAAGATCCATGATGCTGGGGAATTAGGATTATCCCTTCTCTCACATAAAAGTGGGAGTGATTGAGGAACTGTGTCACATAATTGATGGACACCAACTTGGAGACAAATGCTGGAGGGGTGGGGGAGTGATTGATAATGTTATAAAAATATTCTGTACCTAACCACAGCACAATCGTTATATTCCTGAAAAGCTTCATGATCAGAGAGTCCATGATTGAGACAGTTACATCTTATGGGAAAAACAGCACTGAGTACTGAGATTATTAATGAATCCAGAAAAACCTAGAAAAATATTCAATTTTACTTAAAGGCAGCACTAAATAAAGAGAATATAAATTATTATATATCTTAAGTTAGTGATAATGGCCTCTCAGTAATTAATGTCAATTTATTGATTGCTAGGAACTTCAGGATTTCTACTCTAGAATGTAAATTTATTTTAATGTTCACAATTTTCTTGTAATTTAGTTTAACATTTTTATAAATTCATTTTGCATTAAATTTTGGGACGAAGGGAGCGACAGTACAAACTATAATAAAGGATGTTGTCAAACTTTCATTTGTTATGGCAGGAAGAGATTCAGAGACCCATAATACCTTAGGAGACAAATGATGACTACCCCTCAATTCCATTGTATAGCTTGGAGTGACTCTTAATTTTAGGTGACTCACTGTTCACCAGGCACTAGTCTAACCAAACCTTTTCACAACCTGTCACACCTTTGTACTTTCTTTCTCTTTCCATATTCCGGCATAATTAAAAGAGGAATTAATTCTTGCTGCTCTTAACTTTTCACTACTTGTTTACGTCTGTGTAGTGAGTGGTTGATCCTGGCCCATGAGTAAGCATCGAGACAGTATTCCTTGTCTTTTAAAACATCTTTGTTCCTCATTAAGCCTGATTTTATCATTCATTCATTTTTCAACAAATATTAAATATCTAGTATTTTTTCAGTACTGTGCTAGGTACTAGTTATCCAGTGATGTATAAACCTGAAACCATCCCTTTCCTTGTGGAGTGTATATCCTAGATGAGGAAACAGACAGTAACTCCTTCCTTAACACTCCCTGTGTTCCTTACTTTATTTTTTTTTCCATAGCATTTATCAACATCTAAGACTTTATTTTTTGTTTGATTTCATCCACAGAGCGTTGGTTACATGAGGACAAACAAGAATTTCTGTATGCTTTGCTAAAGGAATATTTTTTGGTTGAGAAGTGAGAAAGGCACGTTTAATTCGTCACCACGTCCCCTTGATTCTGCTTCTTCAGCCTGTCTCTAAATAAGCCCACTGCCGCTTCCTTTTAGTTCAAGCCCTTTTTATTTTTACCTGGTCTATTAAAGTAGCTTTCCCTGCCTCTGTAGTACCTTTCCCCTCCAGATTGCTGCCAGTAATCTTTGTAAAATTCAGGTCTGAATTTCTTCAGTGATCTGCTGTCTTTTAAAGGTAAATCAAACTCCTTCGCTGTTCATTGTTGGGTTCCTTCCTATCTCTCCAGCCTTTTTTTTTTTTCTCTGCCACTCCCTGCTCTCCATCTCAAACTTTATGCTGCAGTAGTATCAATATATTGCACTTCTTCAAGCTTCTCTGCTAAGTGTGGTGGCTGGACCAGAGGCTTCCCCTTAACTTGGAAGCTATTTAGAAATGCAAATTTTAGGCTCCACCCCGAGGCCTACTAAATAAGAACCCTGGGAGCAGAGCTAAGCAAGCTAAACAAGACTTCCCAGTAATCCTGATGTACCTTAAATTTGAGAATCACTACTTTAGTCCTTTTTTTTTTTAAAGTTCATTTCCTTAACAAGCTCAGCCATTAATTACCATGCTTTCAATATCATTTTCATTTGTGTAACTCTTAATTTACATCATTGACCCTGGTATCTGTGTCAGTCCTGCTTTTTAAATTGTGTATTGGACATCTTTCCTGGATATCCTTCCTGTACTTCAGACTCTGTAGGTTCTAAACAAAATTCAGTACCCATCTATTAAGATGTTTTATATACTGCGTTTCCTATTTCCTCCTTCAAAGGATTCCTCCTTGCAGCTTTGAATCCTAGATTATGAAGTATTTTCTCTTTGGTTTCTATTTTGTCTTGCTTTAGAGCAACAAAGGAAAAGGTTTTTTAATAACTCTACTGACCAGAATAGGGTCAGGATTTTCCAGGCAATAGATTACTGTTGTTTATAGACCATCTGTTAAAATGTATTTTTTAATGTATTTTTATCTTATTCTTCTCTGCTTTTAACTTCCCACCTTTTTTCCCTCCTCAATTGTCTTTTTCTCTCTCATTTTAAGAACTTAGAGACCATTTACTTTGAATCTTGACCTCAGCTGCCCACGTTCTACCGTAAAGCTGGAGGCATCCTTGACCCTGGGCTAATAGAGTGACAACTTGTACCAAAAGTGACAACTGGTACCAAAGATTGTAGTCAGGCAACATTTCATCTATCTCGGTACAGTTTCTGCAGTAGATTCTCAATAAATTTTTTTCTAATGAATAAGTGAGTAAGTTAGGCAAGTCTCAAAGCACTGGACAGATCTCCAAGGTCAAAAAACCACAGTGAAATTGTGGCTGGATACATAAGGAACCTCAAAGATTTGAGCAGTAAGAAGTGAGAAATTTTGACACTCAAATATTTATTCAGTGAATAAATGAAAGATTTTAAAGAAAAGAATAGCCATTGTAACAGATGGTGAGGTATTTCCTTCTCTGAGAGAAGAGCGATAAATTTAGATTTTATTTCAGTGTGAACTTTCAAGTTTAATTTTAAAAATTCATGTTTTTGTGTGCTTCCCCATAAGCACAGTTTGATATACATTTTTAATAATTTTCGTGTCGATTTATGTAACAGTTACATTTTAATGGTTTGACTATATCTCTTGGGCTATAACTTTTAACTGTTATTATAGCTCTCTTTTTGTTGGATAGGAAAGACAGTAATGTATGTGTGTGTATATATATATCTGTTAAATTGCACATCTGAATTACCTTACATATGAGAAATTTTTATATGTGAAATCATATATCTATTCTCATAATTTGAGCTATTCTCTCATAAAAAATACATTCTTAAATTATAGTAATAAAAAAACCTTTCTTTTTAACATGCACACAGGAAACCTCGGCCTGTCTCCCAGTTGGTTGCACAGCAGGTTACTCAGCAGTTTGTGCCCCCTACACAGTCAAAGAAAGAGAAAAAAGATAAAGTAGAAAAAGAAAAAAGTGAAAAGGAAACAACTAGCAAAAAGAACAGTCATAAGAAAACCAGGTAAATTTAGAGTGTTTTAATGGCACTTTTGAAGTAATAAAATTAACCATTTAATATTGTCTTTTAACATCAATATATAAAGTATATAAAGTAGAAATAAAAGATTTCATCTCTTTTACTATATCATGAAAGTGTTTTTCTTAGTTGAAGGTATATTAGAAATTAAATTAAGTGTGAGGACACTTTCTGTTTTTTGTTTTTGTTTTTGTTTTACTAGATTACAAGACATTTGTGTTTGAAATGTTTCTTTTTCACTCATAAAGCCAGGAGTGATGTTCACAATACTGAACAGATATTTGCATGAGCTTTAACCAGTCAAAATGGTCATGGGTCCAGGCAGAACAGACAGTGCACATCAGTGGAGTAACAGCCCTGCATATAACTCAACCTTAGCTGTTGTCAGCTTCCTCTGTGATTCAGCTATGTCACTGCTGTTCTAAAACATTTATTTTAGTAAAATTGATAAGCTGTCTGCAAAATTATGATAAAGCTATAAAAGCACATTTAAGAGAACATTACTCCCAGAGTTTTTTGTCATGTTGAGGAAGATTCAGGAATGATTGGCTTGATTAATGTTAATGATTTCAAACATTTAATTATATTTTTGTGGCTAGTTACACATGAATATAGAGCTTTAAAGATAGATGTATTTGTTTTGTTATTTTTACCTAATTTAATATGCATTACATGCTCAGAAAGTTGGTAGAGAGAAAAGCTAGTTTAAAATTTTATCATCTTTTGTGTTTAGGCCAAGATTGAAAAATGTGGATCGGAGTAGTGCTCAACATTTGGAAGTTACCGTTGGAGATCTGACAGTCATTATTACAGACTTTAAGGAGAAAACGAAGTCACCGCCCGCATCTAGTGCTGCTTCTGCAGATCAACACAGTCAGAGTGGCTCCAGCTCTGATAACACAGAGAGGGGAATGTCCAGGTCATCTTCACCCAGAGGAGAAGCCTCATCATTGAACGGAGAATCTCATTAAAGTTTATTTTCTCCAATTTCCTAGTCACTTCTGTCATACCATGCAAATACACAGATTATGCCAAGAAGTACCACATTTTCATGACAAACATATTCATGCACAATCCATAATTTGCATTTTACATAAAATAGAAATTTGTTAGATTTTATTGCAATCTATGCCTACCAAACATTTCCAGACTTAACATTTTGGTCTCCACAGTTAAAGGTGCCATGAAAATGTGGTTGAATTACTCATTATGCAGTGTTATTGGTAAGTCTATTTTCACTTTTAGTTTAGTGAATTCTAACACATAATTCTTGAATTCTCTACTATTGGCATGTAACGAATTTAAATTTTTATAACATAGTGCAAGCTGCCTAAATATGTATTATTTGAGAATTGTGAAACAAATAGTTATATGTATACAAGTCAAAAATCAATTTAATCAACTGTTGCTACAACAGAATTTTCTTAATGGTTATCCTCTTAAATACACCTGCTGGTACTTGGTGTGGTTAAATAGGAAGATTGTTATTAAATAAAGAATTTGTATGAACCATTGCCAATGTTTTTGACACATTTTACTAAATTATTGTTCCTGAATTATGTTTTAGGTTTTATCTGTTTTGGGGGGGATTTTTTGCTTATCTTTCAAAACATTCATTTATTGTAATGTTTACTAGCAGACTAGTAAACAATAAAACATTGATTACATGGCTTTATAATTCAGATTTAGTGCTATTGTCATTGAACACTGGTATTTTCTGTATTATATAGAACATTAAAATTCAAGTAATTATAAGCATTTGGCAAAAACAGAAGAGAAGAAACCTGTCATATTTTAAAAGCTGCAGTTTTGGAAAAGCTTTAACTTAATAGTTTTATCACTGTTTCCTTGCCCCAAACTTATCCAGGGTCATAGAAGTGTGAATCTAATTAATACAGAAATGGGAACTGTTGCACAGAACTGAGAAATAACTAATCTTTAATCAGTTTAATTGGCCTCTTATTAAATATAACAATTCTTATAAAAATTATAGTACCCTATTTTCAGAAACAATTGCCAGTTTATGCATTTATCAATATCCTAAAATTTAAAAAGCATTTACAGCCCCACTAACTATTATGTCAATTTACCAATAAAATATTTTTATGACTACAGATTTTGCATTTTTGTTTACAACTAATAAAAGTGTTTTTTGTTGTTTCTAAAAATCCAACTTAGAAACCACACAGTACTTAAATTCTAGGGTCTCCTGCTTTCTCTTAGCCATTTGTTGAGTATGTATTCACCTATAGGAGACTTTTGAACTATAAATGAACTTTAAATCATAACTTGGATACAGAATATCACATAAAAACATCATGATAGCATTTGAAGAAAGAAATAAAACTGTAGACCCTGACAGTTGTGATATTTGGTGGTTTCATGTGGTAATGTAATTTTCTGTTTAATTGCAGTACTTTTTACAGGCGCAATGGTACTGTCTTTTTTGTAAGATGCAAGTTGTGAAATACAGTTAATTGCATACAGTAAAAGTCTGTGATTAAAACATTTATATACCTCATTCTTTAGTGTTGTTAAATGAAAGAATTTTATTTGTTTTTAAGATACTTTCAGTGGAACCCCAAATGACTGGTATGTTCTTTTAAAACATGAAAATTTTTTTCTCTTATTTTATTCTTTTTCACATGTTCCAAATGTTTTATATATATACATATATATTCATTTTTAGACATAGTAAAAACTACAAGTACTAATTGTAATAGGGAAAATATTCTAATTTTTAAGTCAAAATTACTCTTTGGAGGTACTGGGTCTTATCATGATGATCAAATACTTTCTGGATATGTTTTAAATGGACTGCAAGAGAGAAAAATCTGACAGAAGATGGGATTTTACCTGAACGGGGCATAGTCATCTTTCTAAATAGTAGGGAGACAGTTAGCATGGAATTTGAGAATGCTAACTGATGGCTGGTATCTGAATCTCTGTTGTAGAACCTAAGTGAGCTTGAGTAAGTCATTCAAGGTCCTTTCCCGTCTATTAAACAGGGATAATGGTAATCATATCTAACTCATAGGGTTGTTGGGAGGATTAAATGTCAATCCATACAAAATTCTTAACAACTACCTGACACGTACTCTATGCTCAGTAAATGTGAGCCTTTACTATCTTTATAGGTAAAATCCCATTACAGAAACATAATTTTTTTTGTAACAAAACTTGTTTCCATGCCTTCTTGGATGCCCAAAAGGAATTGTGTTCTGTAGGTTAAACTGAATTTTTTACATCAGATGTTTGCTCTGATCCCAGACCAGCTGTCTTTCTGTAATTAAAGAACCTGATGGTATGCATTATGAGACAGGAGAAATGAGCTGAGTTGGCTACTTTGATATTTTGTTTTCCTTTCATTAATCACAGTTATCTTTTCCTGTCTTCATTTCACCCTACCTCAAATACACTTCCAAACCAGGAAACAGACTCAAATTCCATAAATACACCTAATGTTAAAATATGCAAAAAGGTTCAGAGCCTGGGCTTAGGGTATATTTTTAGCTCTGGTTCATCAACTTACCCTATGGTTTTAATAGTGGGTTATTTTAGCCAAATTCCATACAAAAAGAGCATTTGGATGTTTTTCAGAGTTTATTAGCTTATTTTGATATAAGTAAGAGTGAAGATATAATTTGAGGCATACAAGAATACATATTCTTAAACCTTTTATATTACACAGTAGAAATAGTTGACAATAACTTAAAGGTTTTATTTTTATTAAATGCTTTCCTAAAATTGTAGTGATGACTGTAGACAAAGTGAAAACATTAAAAAAGGAAGAAAAACCTTTGCTTTTCTAAGTTGGTAACATTTATTACCCTTCTTTTAGAAAGAAGTTCTTATTGCCTGAAAAGAATATAGCTTATTATATACATTCATGCTGAGTGGTCTAGAAGTTTTAGTTTCCACTGAAACCCTTATTTTACTTATTTTCTTGGTCTGCCACTTATCTCTTTCCTGGAATCTTGAAGACCTGAAGTAGGAACTGGGCCATTGATAGAAATTTCTGTACTGTACTTTGAAAATCAAGTGCAAACAGAAGAGTGAATGTGTGTGTAAGAAGGGTAATCATAAAGTGATACTTCGACTTACTAGCACTGGCTCCCCTCTTCAACCTCAGGCACCTTCAGGTGTCTGGAACAACTGAAATGTAGAAAAACTGAAATGTAGAAAAGTCATCAGTGACAAAAATAGCTAGGTAGACTCAAGAGACAGTGAAGATTGCAGAATACAGGATGTGACTGATCGTTTGTGAAAGCAGAAGGAAAAGAACACCCTCCCTGGCTATTGAGAGTGATGAAAAAGAAGATGCCCTAATAATAAAGGCAAGGAACGTTAGAAATGGGGAAAAAAATGAGGGAGGAGGAAGGAGAAAAAGCAAAGATAGTAGCAGAAATTAGAAAATGGGGATTGTGATGTAGTCGATGATAGCAGAGAAGAATCACTCAGAAGGGAGAGAGAACAGATAGAATGTATAGCATCTCGGTCTCTTGAGAAAAATTTTAAAACAAGCTATGATAAATCATCTTTGTAATGACTCAGTCATTAAGTTTTCAGTTGTGTTTAGTAGACTGTTTACTAGAGCAGCAATATGTGTAATCACTATAAAATGATTTTCTTCAAAACCAGTTCATTTTTAGAAGTTGTCATAGAGATTTACCTTGAATTATATGAACACTTTCCTGAGTGCACAGCCCTGCTAGCCCAGATAATTTAAATGTTATGTTTTTAATGTGGCTTTGTATTTAGCCAGTGCAGATATTCCAGCCTTTGTGGAATGGGCCAATTCTGGAGCATATGAAATGCCACGATAAGACTAGGTACTTATATAGAAAAATCAAGTAGAGCTCTGAAAGCTTTTAGTTCTCTGGGACATGTTTCATGTTCTGAATTGTTTTTCAATGGTGATTTCTTTCCTCCCCATCAGTAGGAGTTGTAGACTGTAGTAGCTATTTTACTGCTGTAATACTTTCATTATTTTCCTGATCTAGATTTTCTTTATGTCAGTTTTCAATTCAGTGCACATTTATTGAGTATGTTTTGTGTGCTAGGCACTGGTCTGGGGGTTGGTTGCAAAGAGGACAAAGATGTGGAACTCACATCTTAGAGGAGAGATCTGTAAATACAATGCCATTATTTCAACAATAAAAATACATATAAGATACAGAAGTAACAGAAGAGGGAGTGCTTGCCACCATTTTTTTTTTTTCTTTTTCCTTTTTTTTTTTTCCCCCTAGAAAATTCAGCTTGGCCTGAGTATCCACTGTAAGTCCGCAGTGGAGATGTTAGGATCTCATCTTGATAGTTGCAGCTGGTAATGTTGGGTGTCACCAGTAATTTTAGCCAGCTACCATTTCATTACTCCAGTTTGAATTTTCAAAAGTTAAAGACTTTAAGGCATGTAATGTGAGATTATCATTTTCCTATACTAATTTTTAAAAATCAGTAAACAGCTGAATGAGGTCTCCTGTTGCCTTTTTGTGAGAATATTGAGGAAACATTACATCACTCAGAATCCAAATGAGAAAATTTATTCAGACCTGTTTCAGGAAAAGCTTTACTTCAACCTGAGAAATCAGTTTGCCTTTTTCTTGTGAACAATGCAAATCATCGATTGTCCTCAGTTTTTGCTTTAGTTGTGGGAAATCTCAGATTAAAATTAGGCATACTTTTAATAATTATATAGAACTCAGTCATCTGCATATCCATATTCTAACTTGTTATTCTTCATCTAACTACATTTTTAACTTCATCTAACTACAGTTTTTATCTACTTAACGTTTTCCCTTGTGTTCTTATAAAGTTCCTCAAATCTCTTTTGTACATAAGGCTAAATAGTAATACTTTTTAAAAAAATCTCAAAAAAACTGCTTCATTTTAGTTGTGAGGATAAGCCCCTACGTGAAATTTTCAGTTCAAGGATCCAGTAAAATGGATCCAACTGGAATTCCTGAGGAGTGGAAATAATACACAAGTTTGGCAGGTCTTGAATTACATGCAGGTAAACCTGGATCTGCTGACTTACCTGGAAGTAGGGAATGTGGATGAAAGCTACCATCTCATCTTCATATTTTCATTAACTCTTTTTTCAAGAGAATTCAGAAACTGGGTACCAAGATTTACTAATTTAGACTTTGTATGTGTATTATTTTCACTAACCTCTTTTAATTCAGACTAATAGCAACAATGAAATTAGCCTGTGTTCACTTCTGGAGTCAGCAAGATTGAGAAGAGTTGGGATACTGTATAAAACCAGTTTGGGAGAAGACTCCTAAAGGACAAAAATGTAGTGAAAGCATTAAAAAGAAAAAAGTAGGCTGTTTTCAGAATTAAAAAACAGTGATCTGGCCTTAGGTCCAAGAGGTAGCTTTTGGTCTTTAATAAGAGAAAATGTAAAAGCCTATGATGTTTCCAGTATAGGATAAGATAAATAATTTAAGGGACACTTTAACTTAATTAGAAAGAAAAAAAATTTTTTTTACTTTATTAAAAATAAAATATAGACATGTGAAAAGAAAAGCCATTTCAACATGTGAAACCTATTAATAATAAAACCTATTAATATTAAAAAAAAAGAAAAACCAAACATAACAGGACTATTTAGGATGTAGCTTCTATACAGAAAGGAATATAGATAACAATAATTCTGACTTTATTTTTCAACTAAGTACTGTATTTCTGAAGTGTAATAGTATCAGAATTCTTAATTATTTTCATTTTTCAATTTTGGGGAATCTGGGTCCAGAGACTTATCTGT